CTCACCATGTCCTTTGCTGTCACCTGGTTCAAGCCAGCATCATTATTTGTCCTTGTTCCTGCTATGCCCTCCTGAAGGGTCTCCCTGCTTCCACCTCAGTCATCACAATAGCTAGAGTGTTCCTTTTTTTTCCCCTAAAGATTATTTTATTTATTTGTTTGTTTATTTATTTGAGAGAGAGAGAGAGAATGAGCAGTTGTGAGGAGGGGCAGAGGGAGAGAGAGAAGCAGACTCCCTGCTGAGCAGGGAACCCAATGCAGGGCTTGATCCCAGGACTCCAGGACCATGACCTGAGCTGAAGGCAGACGCTTAACAGACTGAGCTACCCAGGGGCCCTTAGGGTATTCCTTTTAAAAGGTAAGTTAGAGCATGTCATTCCTTGGCTCCAAGCTGCCAATGGCTTTCTTTCTTGGAGAAAAGCCAGTCTTTATAATAACCTACAAGGCCTGTGAGCCTGGGTGGCTTGGGCCTTAACCTCACTTGGTTAAGTATCTGCCTTTGGCTTGGGTCATGATCTCGGGGTCCTGGGATCGAGCCCCGCATTGGGCTACGTGCTCAATGGCGAGCCTGCTTTTCCCTCTCCCCACCGCCAGCCACAGCCCCCCCCCCCGCCGCCCCATCGCTTGTGCTCTCTCTTGCTATCTGTCTCAGATAAATAAAATCTTAAAAATATATATAACAACCTACAAGGCCCTACATCTTCTGGCCTCTCTCTTATGTTGTTTCTTGTTATTTTTCCTTTCCCTCACTCTGCTCTAGCCACAGTGAGCTCTGAGCTGGTCCTTAAACATGCAGGTCTGCTCCTACCTCAGGGCCTTTGCATATGCTGTTCTGCCTAGATTGCCTTCTACTGGATCACCAACCACATGGCTCAGGTCTTACCTCCTTTAGGATTCTGCTCAAATGTCACCATCACAGAGAGGCCCTCTGTGACCAACTAATTTAAATTTATAACATTCCATTCTTTGAAAACCCTTCTTGTCCTTCTCTACTTTTTTATCCTTAGCATTTTTCACCACCTAACAGTCTATTTATTTTACTTAGTTACCCGCCTCCACCTACTAGAATGGGAGTCCCATGAAGGCAGGAATTTTTGTCTGTTACATTCACCATTCCACCCAGTACATAAAAGTGACTGGTACTAAATGCTAAAAATAAATAAATAAATGAATGAATAAAATTTAAAAAATTTTTTTAAATTGTTGAATGAGATGAATTATTTTTAGAAGGGCTGTCTTCCCAGCCCCCATTATGGAATCTTGGTTTTTTTGTTTTTGTTTTTGTTTTTAATTGGGTAATCTTTGCCTATCTTTGGTCTTTTGACACCTCTTGTGTTCTTTATGAATTCCCAGTGGCTCCTTGATGGTGATTCCAAATAGCACCATGAACAGGGTCGTCGTTTCTTCTTCCGTAGCAATGTTTATCTTACTCCTTCAAGTCTGAAGGTCACATTCTTCGATGAAAGTAGAGCAGGAATTGAATGGTTCTGTCTTTTCATGGTCACTTGTTAATATTATCTTATCTCTTCTGAGCCCAGGGTTTATTTTATTAGTCTGTTTTCTTGCTAAAAACCCTTTGGCTGCTCATAGCATTTTTTTAAAACAACTAATTACAGGCAGTAATATGCTATACATTTGTGGCCTTCTAGAAATATTTTTATTAGCCCAATTGACTCTTGAATAATTTATTCATTCAACAGACATCTATACCATGCCTTGGGAATATTGCTGGGAATCAAGACCGCCCTCACAGACCTTACACGGTAGTGGACTAAGCAACGACACATTGGCACATGAACGGGGTCATCTCAAAGAGTGCTAAATGCTGAGGAAAAGGAAACAGGGCCTGGGAGGAAGGGCTACTTTAGGCAAGGTGACCCAGGAAACTTCTCTGGGATGACATTTGGGCTGAAAGATGAGAAGTGGGCCATTTCAGGATCTGGGGGCAGAGCATCCTCAGTAGAGGGATCAGCAAGTGTGAAGGTCCTAAAGCAGGAATAGCTTTGGGTGTCCCAGGGACAGCAAGGCCAGGGTAGCTGAAGTGAAGTCAGTAAGGGGGAGAAGAGGTCAGAGAGGAAAGCGGCAGTCAGAGCAGGCTGGGCTTCTGGCTGGAGTGAGGAGCTGGATTGTATTCCCATTGCAGCGGGGAGCCCTCGGAGGGCTTTAGGCAGAGGAATGGTAATATTGATCACAAGGCAGAGCGGAGATGGGCTGTGGGCAGGTGACCGGAAGCAGGGACAAGTAAGGAGGCTGTGAGCTAGCGAGGAGTGACTGTGGCGGGGATTGGGTGGGCACAAGTGGAGATAGACGTGACAGAAATGGGGGTAGTCTGGCTGTGTCTTTGGGGTGGGGCCCACAAGACCTGCTAAAGAACGGAGTATGAGGCAGTGTGGGGAAGTGGGCAGGCTCCAGGGAGAGAGGAGGAAACAGCTCATGGCAGAATCAGGGCCTAGCTCCTGACCAGGAACTTCCCCCTCTTCTCTCCAGCTTTGCAAGCAGGATGCTAGAGAGTTCTCGTCTGTTTCTAGAACAGGGGGGCTTGGGGTTGTGGGAACTCAGACTGGAAGGCAAGAGGAGATGAAATCCCGGGGAGAATGGAAAGAAATCTCCTCAGGGGCCGGGGTACTTCCCGACGCTTAGCTGGGGCTTGGGCCTGGATGTTCCGTTCCCTCCACGACACTGCCACCCAGTGGTGTGGAGTCAAACTGCAAGGGCAGGACTCCCCCAGTAACCCAGCTTTTCTCCTGTCATCCCAGGTCTTCAAGTGGACCGGAAGCAACTCTTTCTTTGTGAAAGGAGACTTGGATTCACTGATGATGGGCAGCGGCAGGTGCGTGTCTCAGTCCTCCCAGGGTCTGGAGTCTTGGGGTAGTCTGTGTTCTGGTCCCTCCCCCATCCGGAAATGCTGGGCTACAGCTGCCCCAGATAAGATGAAGCTAGTGGTGAACTTCCAGGCCTTTCCCTTCAACACGGCCCCGGTGCTGCCTAGTCCCCCAGTCAAACCCCTCAAGCCTCCTCTAAACACCGAGGGGGTAGAATGGCATGGACTACCCTCCAAAGTGTTTACAGTTGATGACAGCTTAGTCTGAATGCATGTGATTTGGGGAACAGCATTCTGCATGGTTGGATGAGGCTAGAGTCAAGGGATGGGAGGCTAGATCAGGTAACATAGCTCACTGGAGGAAGGCAGGCATCTGCCCAGGAAACCAGCGTGTGTGCACGCGCGCGTGTGTGTGTGTTGGGGGGATGAGTGGGTTAGGAAGAAAAAGTTAGCCTTATTCCTGGTGAGACCTCCAAATTCAGGCAGAATAAATCTTATCTTGAGGGCAAAGATGAAAGCGGTGTTTGACTAGTACCAGGCAAGTTCTTTGCTCTCCCAGCTCCCTGAAGAGCCTCTACTGAGACAGTTTGGCACAGAACATACAAGCCATAGCTGATTTGCAGTAACCCACTTCCCAGCCCCAGCCTAGTTTGCTGTCTAATGAGGGGATCAGAATGGATGCTTTCTGAAATGTTTTGGGCTGAGTCCATGCCTTAAGATTCACTCCTTTGGTTAAGCATTGCCATCTTTAAAATGTTCCACATGTTCTAAAACTGGACTGGGGACAGTGGTGCACCACTGTATATATTTATTAAAATCATTTAACTATAAAAAAAATGCTCCAAATCTTATGGGGAACAACATGTGGAGTTCCCAACAATTCTGGATATAAATCAGTTTAAGGGAAGATGAAACAGGCAAAACTGAGCTGTGGTCATGGTGAGGCCAAAGGCTGATGGTGTAGACCTGGAAGGCCAACATCCAGGAGTGAGTCATGCTGAGATTTTCCTCTTCTCTTTAGTGGCCAGTTTGGGCTGTGGTTGGATGGAGACTTGTACCACGGGGGAAGCCACCCTTGTGCAACCTTCAATAATGAGGTGCTGGCCCGGCAAGAGCAGTTCTGCATCAAGGAGCTGGAGGCCTGGGTCCTGAGCTGATGGAGCTTTCTGAAACAACAAATGCTCAGACCTGCTCATGAACACCATCTAGACCCTCCTTAGAGAGGGCTGCCCATTTTCTCCAAAACCTGGATGACTATGGCTGTGACCAGACCTCCCTGTGGCCCGGGGACCTGAGACAGTCCTGGAAGCAAGCAATGTTCTCCAGGACAGGTGACTCTGAAGTGAAAGGTACTTACACCTCTTCTGAACAGCACGAAGACCCTCATGACATTTCTTTAAAGTAGGCTCCATGCCCAGCATGGGGTTCAAACTCATGACCCTGAGATCAAGAGTCCCATGCTCCACCAACTGAGCCAGCCAGGCGCCCCCCTGAAATTTCTTTTTAGAAATTATACAACTAAAACATGTTGACTGTAGAAAAAACAGAAGACTTTAAAAAATTTTAAAGTTGCCTAAAATTCAAGCACTCCCCCAAAACACTAACATTTTCATTTTCATATACACCCTTCTAGAGAATTTTCCATGGAGATATATATATTCTATTCTGGATGTTTTAGAAATCATTTTAACTTCATACTGTCAAACCACAGACACCTGGGCTCAACTAGTGAAACTAATAAAGACTCTGGTAGCATCTTTTTCTAGAACACTGAGGGCTTCCTGTCGGCCACCAGCATACGGGGTGCTTGCAAATCTCTAATTTCACAAGCAAGATATGAAAGCAGCAAATGAACAATATGCCTATTTGGATAAAGAAGTTGAATCTCTGTAGATGGGAACCTAGGGCAGGTTAAAAAGGAGGAAAGATATGTTTCCTGACACAAGAGCTCAGGAAATGAAGAGACATCCATATCCCGTCCCATTGACAATGCCCGCCTCCTGTCAGAAAACCAAATAACATAAGTCCTGTTAAATATCATCCCCTCTCTTGCAAACCAAACATAGCGTTGACATAGTCAGACGCATCTGGGTAGATTCCTAGACACATTTCATTTGCAGAACAGGGTGCAGACTGGGCACACATGTGTGAGAGGACGTCATTAAGGAAAACACCTTTGGTTTCAAGATGGAGATACATTCATGAAGCTTTATTGCAGCTATTTTCCTCACCCAAATGAAGTAACAAATCATTTAAACTCATAGTTCTTACATTCTCAAGGTGACAACAGTTCAGTAACTCTAGAGGTTGTTAAAATCTCAGTTTTTATACAAACAGTGAAGGTGTTAAGAAAAATTTAACCTTGTAAATGGCACACGGTTCTGATAATTAAAACAGTTGCAAAGAGCATAAAGTGCAGCTGACTTATATGTAAAGGGTGCAAACAAAGTTGATTCAAGTTATTTCTCAGATAGCACAATGATACAATATTGAAACCATAAAATTCCAGAGTAAACCACAATGATTTAAAGATAGGAGTTGCAGAAAGAAAACAATCTTAGCAGAAGAACATTACATTCTTGACCTTGAGTCTGGATACACTAAGTCTGAGCCCCACAGTTCTCCCCACTGAATGTTTCAGAGGTACCTCGGCCAACACAGATATGACCCAGTCCCATGGCTGACTTCACTTGTGCTTCTAGGAGCCCACATGTGGACACATCCTCACCCACACAGCATTATGGTGGAAGTGGGGAGGGTTTTAATTATTCTCCTGTGAATTAGGGTCAACTCTTGATCATCTACTGGGGGATGGAGGAGGGTGGTGGTGGTTATACAGAATGGCAGGTATCTCTAATACTTTTCAGCCTAGTGTCAACAGAACAGAACTTGATTACACAGTAGAAGGTGGCAGCATTCCTAAGACTGTGGATAATCTGCTGCCTATAGTCTGAGTTCCTTCCTTCCTCCCACTTGCTCTTGCCTGGAGCCAGGCCTGGCTCTCCAATCCCGGCCTGCCATGGAGGCTTTTGTAAGGGAGTGTCAAAGCATAAGATGTTAAGGGCTTAGGACTCCCATTCCCCACTGCCCTGCATCTACAGGACCCTCTGGCTACCACCAGCTTTGGCTCTAACTCCAGACTTTATTCTTGGTGAAGGTCTGTAGAACTGGCAATTGTGTGTATATGGAGGTGGGGGTGGGGGCCCTCTGCACAGAATTGCTCACCTACAGTGGTGCCTACTCCACTGCAGGAGGTAAAGAACAAGCATGGGGAATACTGGGCCACGGAGGGGAACTTGGAATTCTCAGGATAATCACTCATTTCATCCCAGGCAGCTCAGTCTTTGCTCTGAAACCCATAAAATGCTCACTGAACCAGCAAAAACAAAGTCCCAGCTCTGAGTAGCCCCAGCCCCAAGAATGGCTTCTGTGACCCTGATCAGCTTACAAGGGAAATTCAGACAGAAGGTCGGAGGAGAGCCTTCTCCAGGCTGAGTAGTGATAGTGAAAAAGACCTTGGGACATGGACAGTGAGTATTCAGGAGTAAGAAACTGCCCAGGCCTGGGGCTGCAACTGACCCAGAGAACAGCCTCCCCAGAGGCAGTTTTATGTCCCACTCCAGAGAAGGCCAGAGCACTCGGACCTTTTCAAAAAATTAATCATGCCTCTCACTCAGGAGTTGGAGCTAACTCCCGGCCCTCATTTCCTACTGATTAGTCCAACCTGGCTAAAAGGGTGAGGGAAGGTCTTTCACGAACATTCAGATCACTTAAGAAGAATTGTCCTCAAATTCGAGGTGATGGGTACCTCCCTCAAGGGGCTAGGATTTTGTTTCGTTCTTAACCATGGCTGTTTACGATAGTCCCAACTTCAAATTCCTATGTGCACCTTCTCTCATTTCTAAACATTTTTTTTTTAAAAGAACAATCATATGTCGTAAGAGTTCAGAGTACCTAAATTTTTTTTTTGTTATTCTAAGAAAATAAGACTACTAGAGAAAGACTTTAGTTACAGTTAAAATAGACAAGGTAACACTTTCCGTAGCATGTATAGCAAGATTTGCCTAATACCTTTTTGTTTCTTTGGATAAAAATTACTTAGCTTCAGCATGTGTGTACATTCAAAATATAAAAAGCACTAGTTATCACTAAATTTGTAGAACTCCATGACCAAATTCCCTACATTAGTTAATACTGCTGGGGGACAGGGAAGAAGGCTTTATGTAAACAACTGGTTGCAAACATTCACACTGAGTCATCCGGAAAAAGGCGCTGTCTAGATTTGGACTCTTTCTGGAAGTGATCTGGGCTCTGGGCTGAATTTGCGTTATTCCACTCCATTTTTCGAGGTGTTATAAGAGGGGCTACAACGTCACCATCCTGTCAAGAAAAGAAAAACCAGGAACAAAGAAAAGCCAGTTTTCATAACTTTGAGTGAAATCCTCATGTGCACCTATCGTTGTCTTGCAGATAGATTGCTTCTAGACGTACTTATTCTTGGGAAACCCTAAATTACATATATGCCCTGTGCTTGGGCCAAATTAGAAACACCACAGTCCTGAGCAGGTAAGAGCCTCTGTAGGAAACGCTATCGGACCTATTCTTCTCAAAGATGGCCAGAGGCAGGACACCACAGAGTTCTGACTCCTCTGCCTTCATACACTTTTCACAAAACACAAACTCTGTCTTTCTTTTTTTGAAAATACCAATTGCTTTTATTTTTTTATATTATTTTATTTTTTTTAGGGAGAGAGGGGTGGGGAGGAGCAGAGGGAGAGACAGAATCTTAAGCAGGCTCCACACTGAGCGCAGAGCCCAACATGGGGCTCCATCTCATGACCCTGAGATCATGATCTGAGCCAAAATCAAGAGTCAGATATTTAACTGACTGCGCCACCCAGGTGCCCCTCTGTCTGTTTTTCCAGGAAAAGAGGGACTTCACTGGATCCCTGCTCCTCTCTTGCCTAGTCCCTCCCTACAATAAATGATATTCCTATTTGGAAGACCCTTCTGGCTCAAAGTCAACATTATTTGCCTTTAAACTCATCTCTATTTCTATCAAGCATCCTTATTTCTACCTATTCTAATTTCAACTCTAGTGAATTTTGTAAATATGAACTTGAATGTCACTCTCCTGCTTAAAACACTTTAATGGCTTCCATTGCTCTTGGCCTACAGGACTATGCAAAATTCCCTGGACCCCTCCCCTAAAGGCACCATGTTCTCGCCCATCTTCTGGCCTTCCCCCCTCCATCGACTTTACCCAGCTAACTCCTTCTCATCCATCCTTCAAGTCTCAGCTTCTAAGTCCTTCTTAAAATAAGCCTTTCCCAACCAACCAAGCTATGGCTTAAATCCTTCTCCTTTTGGCTCCACTAAGACTCTGTGCACCCTACCCCAAAGCACTTACCACACCACCACAATTGTTATTTACTTGTTGCCCCGACAAGACTGTGGGAACTATGTCTGTCTTAGGGACTGTTCCATCTCTGGTACCTAACATAGGACCTGGCAAAAACCCTCATTCAATGAGTGAATGTATCTTCATTTTAAAGTAGTTATTGCCAGACGGCTGAACTTCAACAGCCTCTTGTCTAATTCCAGTCTCTCCAAGTTCCAATCCATCTGCTGCTAGTTTTCTTTCTTAATCAGAGGTTCAGTTTCCTTAGGTGCTACGGCACTTCCTCATTCCCATGGGTCTCATTCTAGTTGGAGATAACAAATGCAGAAGGAAGTAATGATGGCAGCACCTAAGGAAACTCTTGAAATCTCTCAATGGTTCCCTCCCCACTGTTCATAAGAAGTCTTCTTTCCTAGCTGATTATGCAAGGCTCTCCATCATCTAGTCTATTCTTCCCATTCAACCTCTCACCACTCAACAGTAGGGATTCTTGAGTCCACATAGCTGGTCTCCTCACGGCCCCCAAACACACTCCACTTGTTCCAGTTTCATGCCACTGGGTTACTCCTCTAGCAACTACATCCACCTTTTCTCCCTGCTACTCATTCAAACATAATCCAGCCTTCTGGACCCAGCAGAATCGCTTCTCCTTCAGAAGGCTTTCCTGACAGCTCTCAACTCTTAGAATCCTAACAGAACTCATCTGTATCACTCCTTCCGGCACCTGATAAAGTACCAACTACCGGGTTGCTCCTTCATTTTGTTTCCTTCAGCACCCAATGCATGGGGGTGGGGGAAGGCAGATCCGGTGTTGTGGGAGAGCGTACTGGGCTAGGAAGTAGAACGTAGCTTCCCACCTGCCTGCCAAATATTTCACTCAGACACTCAACAAATAATTGACTGGCCACTTTCTCTGTGCCAGGCACCTGCCATGTCCAGGTCAGTAAGGGACAACTTTAACAACATCGCTATAGGATTGTCAGCTACAGCTTGGCTCCTCTTCTTCTCCATTGTCTTATTCCAGACAATTTAAATAGTTTACAGTTTTGGGAATGCTGAATTTGAAATAATAAGTTAGAAAACTTATTATCAACTTGTATGTAGCCTTAAACAATTTACTCAGCTTTGGTAACCTTCTCGGAAAGATGAGGACACTATGACTCATTTCCCAGGTAACTGGGAGGAGTGCAGACAACTGGTGAGAACATTATAAAGTACTATCACATGTTCATCATTTTGAACTTTTAGTATTAGGATAATAATGATAAACAGAGTACCCACTCAAAATTGGTGTAGGAAGAAATCACTAGTCGACATAGAGTCAGACATTTTAAAAGGAAAGCTTAAACTGGAAAAACTTTTTTTTCCAAAACCATAATCTAGTGACTATAATTTAAATGAGAACTCTTCAGAGGGAAGTAAAGATCTCTTTTAGTTTTTACTTAGAAATAAAAAATTGTGCAAATCATGTGAATAATAAACCACCCACCTGAGGCTTGGTGAAGTCTCTGATTAAGCACCAATGAACAAAATGTTGTTGTGCAACAAACAAGGTCTTTGCATCAGTCTTCTTGCAGTATACGCGAATTAGCTGCTCTTCAAATCTCTCTGGCAAAAGCTCTGAAACCTTTTCAAAGAAGAAAAGATTTCACTGTCATCTTGAGTTCATACATTGAAGAGAGGTTAGCTGTTCCTAAGCTCCATTCTATTTTTTTTTTTTTGAGATCTTATTTATTTGAGAGAGAGTGTGAGCGAGCAGGGAGAGGACAAGCAGACTCCCCGCTGAGCACAGAGCCCAACATGGGGCACGATCCCAGGAAGCTGGGATCATGACCTGAGCTGAAGTCAGATGCTTAACTGACTGAACCACCCAGGTGTCCCAGCTCCATTTCTGATGTTATTTAAAAACACCACACTGTTTTGCTGTTATATCCCAATTATCATCCAAAGAAAAGAATTCAAGGTAGTTGTCATACTGCAAAATGCCCCACAATTTTATGTCAGTAAAAGACTAAAAGTTTGTATCATGTAATTATATGTAGACCAGACTCTCACTGAAAGATAGTGTGCAAATAAGCACATTTAACTTTCATGACTTCAACCATACAACACTACTTTTCCCATCAGATTTATAACCTAGTCTCTAAACCAAAAACAGTGCTTTCATCTATGTTCAGCAAATAGGAAAAACTGGCTGCTAAGATGGTCTAGTCTACATAAAAATCAGATATATTTAAGTTTTTTAAGACTTTTTAAGATTTTATTTGAGAGCGAGCGAGTGCACAAGCGGGGGGGGAGGGGCAGAGAGAGAGGGAGAAGCAGACTCCCCACTAGCAGGGAACCTGACATGGGGCTTGATCCCACGCCCGTGGGATCATGAACTGAGCAGAAGGCAGACACTTATCCGACTGAGCCACCCAGGGACCCCAATTTTTTAAAGATTTTATTTATTCATTTATTTGAGAGAGAGAGCACATGTGAGCGGGAGGAAGGACAAAGAGGAGAGGCAGAGAAATTCAAGCAGACTCTGAACTGAGCACGGAGCCCAATGCGGGGTTTGATCTCATGACTCCAAGACCATGACCTGAGCCGAAACCAAGAGTCGGATGCTCAACCGACTGAGCCACCCAGGCGCCCCCAGATATACTTTAATTTTAAAAATAATTCTTTTTTGGGGCGCCTGGGTGGCTCAGTCATTAAGCGTCTGCCTTTGGTCATGATCCTAGGGTCCTGGGATCGAGCCCCACATAGGGCTTCCTGCTCCGTGGGAGGCCTGCTTTTCCCTCTCCCACTCTCCCTGCTTGTGTTCCCTCTCTCACTGTGTCTCTCTCTGTCAAAGAAATAAATAAAATCTTAAAAAAAAATAATAATTCTTTTTTTTTAAATTTTACTATACACATTGACTTTAAGACCTAATCTGCATGTAAAACGCAGATTTATCAGGGCGCCTGGGTGGCTCAGTCGTTAAGTGTCTGCCTTCAGCTCAGGTCATGATCCCGGGGTCCTGGGATCGAGCCCCGTATCAGCTCAGCGGGAAGCCTGCTTCTCCCTCTCCCACTCCCCCTGCTTGTGTTCCCTCTTTCACTGTGTCTCTCTCTGTCAAATAAATAAATAAAATCTTTAAAAAAAACAAAACAAAAGGCAGATTTATCATAGCTTTGCGAAATGCCACTACAGTCTATTTGTTTTACCTAAGTAGTTACCTGATCTTTAGTTATCATGACTGCTTTGCTGAGGTCACTCTTACAATAGAAGCGAACATGATCAATAGGATTCTTGTCTTCCATTCCATAATCCATGTTGATAACCTTAATAAAAGCAATAAATTAGTGATCACTCACATAATAGTGAGAATTGAATTCAGGGTTGTAGGAGCATCACAAGAAATGGAGCAGAGCTCTCTGGAGGTTCAGGAATAGTAGCTCATAGTAGAATAAAAATAACTCTGTTGCATGTGCCATAGGTTTGGTCTTGAAATCTGGATGGGGTGGGGGAGGTTATTTGCTTTCAACATAAGTAAGGTGTAAAGTCTCCGCCTATGTGACAGCCACTGTGACAGGTCCTGTAGGTACAAGGAAACTTGATACAATCCCAGCACCCACAGCATGTGTGGCCTAGACTGAGGTTGAACAAATAATGATAAAAGTAACGATCTAACTACATTTGTTCTAAGAGCTACCAAGGAGAAGCAAAGAGTGCTGTGAAACTTTGGAACCGGGGAGCCTAGGAGTCTGGGGCTCCCTGTAAATGACTGGGCATGTTTTCCTGGGAAAGTGAACAGGAATTAGCCAGGTCTGTCTATGTGGGAAGGAAAGGAATTCCAGGCAGAAGAAACAGCTCTGAGGCACAGGGCTGCCATGGTCCACTGGGTTAAGTAACACTGAACTTGGAAGAATAGTTCTCGTATGGTGATGGCGACAGACAAAAGGTTCAGGAGTAAATGAGAAATAATAAAAGAGAAGACAACTCTTAGAAGCTTGACTGTTGAAAGATGCAAGAGAGAAGAATGTGGAGAGGAACACAGTACCTGGGAAAGGTAAGGGAGTTGCAGGGGGGCAACTTTTCAGTGAACTGGACCCTAAAGAAGAGGAGAGAAGTGAAGAGTACGATGTTTGCTGCTTTCCTGAGATGAAAGTCTGTTTAAGAGAAGTGAAGAGTACGATGTTTGCTGCTTTCCTGAGATGAAAGTCTGTTTAACTGCTGATGGGGAAGTCAGAAAGAGAGGACAGAATGGATCCTGGGCTCCACAGAAATGCTAAGATGAATGGCTCTATGGTGTATTACTCAATGTTGTAGCCACTAACCACATGGGGCTTTTTAATTTTAAAGTTATTAACATTAAATACAATAAAAAATTTACTCAGTTGCAGTAGTGACATTTCAGGTGCTTAACAGCCGTGTGTAGCTAGTGGCTACCAAAATGGACAGCACAATTACACAGAACATTTCCAGCATCACAGAAAGTTCTACCAGACAGCCCTGGTCTAGAACACAAGTAAAAGGATTACTCTTAGCCTTTGATAAGAAGAGAGACATTTTCCCACTACCAGAGGGAAGGCTGAACACAGCTGCAGATGGAGGCTTATTCGGTGTGTGTAGGTTGAGAGTGTTCTTATCTAATGGCCTATATTTTATCTCTGAAATAAGGGCCAAAGTGGGGTTAGTCCCAGTGAATACAGTTGTGGGCAGGGAACAGGGCTGGAGGTCTGAGAAGAGTGGAGATGGTTTGGAATAGTCATGGAGACTGGGAGAATTGCACTAAGCCTATCAGAAGTCCAGAGGGCCCAACGAAGATTGGGGACTATGAACTGCCATTCAGCCTTTTGCTGGGTAGATGCAAAGAAAGGAAGGGAGTAGAGGGTAATTGTAGAAATTGACTGAATCCATCACAGAATCTAAGATTGGGAGAGAAAGAGAGATCGTTCATTGACAAGCTGGAAGAAAGTGAGGAGACAATAAACTAGAGGTCCTGAAGAGCAAGGAACAAGCACATAAGGTAAAAGGGGTTTTAGGACAGACAGGATGCTTAAAAATCAGTGATTTTTAGAGGAAAGGTATTTTCAAATATCGGTATGGTTCAGAATGTAATCTGCTGAGTGTTGGCGGAGGTAGAGTGGGTAAGGTCACCGAGGATAAGGATGAAGAGATCAGTCAGAATTGGCCAGCCTTGTGGACTATGAAGCCACCAAGGACCACTGCAGGAACTGGAACAGGGAGAAAAGCTCTAAACCAGCCCAAAATCTTCAGTTAAGAGGACAGCAGGTTGGGAGATGCCGGTCTCAGAGGAACAGGGATCTTGCATAGGGTCTCGAAGTGATACTAGGGAACAAGAGGACTGATGAACAGGAAGGCCTCCTGACCCTGAGGAACACGCTTTTCCCGAAGGGGCTGCAGAAGCATCAGGTTCTCAGGGAACAGCCAGGATGCAGCAAGAGCAAAAAGAGAGTCAACAAAGAGGCTGAGGATCCAGGGAAGCATGTTAATTATGGTGTGGAAGGGCTCCATGGACAGGACTGGGAGAAAGGGTGGGTCTGGAAATAAGAGGGGGAAAAACTAGAGTAATGGGGTGATGATGGTACAGAAAAGAACAGACGATAAGAGGAGTTTATCCTGTGACTGGTTCCTGAAGAAAACAAACAAACAAAAATGGTCTATGAGGTTCCTGCCAGTACCTTGTGAGAGAAAAGAAGACACTGAGGTTCAGCTCTGGTCCCGAAGTCAGACCAGGGGTGTGTGTCCCAGCGTGTGTGTGCTACTGGCTTTGAGAGCTGCAGCGAGTGTTCTGCACGCCTTTACCTGGGAGGGAGCAATGGCTCAGTCTCCCCATGAACCCAGGGCTGGTGCCATCCTAGGCTTCTCTCCTGGGTGCTGTTTCATGTGGGGAGGGACCCAATGGAGCCTTGACACTGTTACACATTATGATAAGGTATGAACACTAATCAAATTTTCAGCAATTTTCAGGAGTGCCACCAGCTCTTTGGTATTTATTTCCTTGGTTTAGGCTAGAAATAAAAGGCAATACCTATTTTCTCCAAAACATGTATAACTAGAAATTCCTCCTTAAAGCAGATTTGATAAAACGGTTATTTTTCTAGAAGGGCAATACTATAATAGTTGGAGTTCCCATTCTTAACCAAGGAAGGACTCAAGAGCAAAATGTAGCTACAGATCAACAACTATGAATCCTTCATTCTAAATAGCAAAATTAAGTTTTATAGCCCATTAAGTAATCATAAAAGTTACTACACACACTCTTAAAAGGAGGCACATATAGTAAAATGTACCACATAAATATATTACACTGTCAAACTAAAATTGAGAGGCTAATACATAATAAGACATTTAATTAGCAAATTGCTTTCTCAGAATACAAAAGGGCTTTACCCATCTTAACCCCATCTTCACCCATCTTTTTCTGATTATGAAACTCTTCTACCATACTCACTCTAAAAAAAAAAAAGTACCTGCAGCTCCATCACCCAGGCAGAAACAATGTTAACGTTTTACCAATACATTCAGAATTTTTTTCAGGGTGCTCACTATACACAGTGTATATACATTTAAAGAAACAAAAATAAAATCATTCTGAATGTATTGCTTTTTTAGTTATAAATATCTTTTCATGTTAAAAACAACTTTTAATGTTTGCATTATTCCACTATATTTCCTACTGAGAGATATATCCTTCCCCCCCTTATTTTACACTATAATAATGCCACAATATATAGATTTGTGCTTGTTTTTTGTTTTTCGTTCTTTTTTCAAGACTGATCATCTCCTTACAACAAATACCTAGAATGAAATTGCTGGGTTGGTTAACATCGACTCTAATGTGGTCTCCTGTATCAATTTACATTCCCATTTTCACATACCTTTATCATAACAAAATCTTATAGAATTTTTTGTTCTGACATGTCTGATAGTCAAAAAAATCTTTCATTGCTCCATCAATTTGCCTTTAGGTTAAAGCAAGCTTAATCATGTGTGTGCTGTCTTCTCCTATGTCTCTTCAGGTACTTCTGATCCTATATTCATTAGCAGATTGCACTTTGAGAGAAAAACCAGATGGGAGGTCAGGGATTGACTAGGATAGTGCACTGAATTGAGGGCAATGCAGACCCTCAAGTAAAGCACTGAGGGCAAGGGAGGACATGTGACAGCCCAGGGAAAACATTCGGGAGAGTAAGTTCTTTCAGAATCTCAAAAACTCAGAAATTCAGAAAGTCCCTTTATTCTGGTGTAATTTCATCTAAAGAAACAGGAAACCATAGCCTGATCTGCAGGTGTGAGGCACTTCAACCCTCAGCCAAGTGACTAGACTGGGTCCAAGGACAATTCACTTGTTGCATCCCTTGGTAAAGAATGGTTATGGAGAGATCACCCTTCACCAAAGATGCATCAACAAGAAAACAGCAAATGAGAGGCTTATTGAAAAAAATTCACGGGCAACACTGTCTCAAGATTTCAGAGGAGTAGAACTCTGAAAAGCAGTTCCTATAAGAAACAAAAGAAAATGTGAAGAAGCCATTTGATAGTCTTGTTAGGATACAAGACACTACAGTCTCTATGAAGGAGCTAAAAAGTCTTTCTCCTTTGTATGCATGGACAGTTTTAAAAAATAATTGGCATAGATTACTTTTGTGATCAAAAAAACATTCAAAAATCAATATACGCAATGTTCTGCTAACCACATGATCACGATTACATTAAAAATATCAATGTCAAAGAAAATTTTAAAAACTGGCTAATTTTGATTCTTTGAGATCACAGGTGATTCTTTTCCTTCTATTTTTCTGTATTTTCCAAATTTTCTTTAATGAACATGTACTACTTTTATAATGGAACGGGGGAGGCTTTAATCTTAAAAAAATTTCTCAGTATATTATCGGGCTAACTACTTACATCCACTATTAAATCTTCAGCCTTCAGTTCAGCTTCCAGCAATACGTCACTAGGTTTAGCATTGGCAATTTCCTCTGGAAGGCGTTTATAGTCTTCCTAGAAAAGACAAGACTCCTCATGTTAGCACCCCAGTTTTTCATCATTAAGTGTTTATGCCACAAAAGGTTCCCTCTCTGAAAATGGCATTTTACTAGGAAAAGTGAGTAGAGATAGCCCTAACAAATACGTGGCTTCTGCTTCTGCCATCCTTCAAACAAACCACAATAGAGTGATTCTCTTAACAAAATTTTCATGTTAAAAAAAAAAATGTGGCATTGACCTATTAGTAAAATAAGAGGAAGGTGTTATGAGGCAGGGTGTGGTTGTCAGTATGGCTCATGTTACTGATTTTCTGGCAAAGAGAAAAACCTTCCACAAGCAAGAGGGGAAAACAGATATAGATATTTGGCATGCACCATCTGGGAGAACCTGATATAGTGTGAAAGAAGAAATTATGAACAGCAGGTCCTTAGCGTCTCCGTGAAGCTCATGCAGATACCGTATTTTGAGGCCCCATTTTCTTGCCATTGGATCTAGCCAAAATTTGGGGGGCCCCCCTCACTTCTGGGATGAGAGAGTAAAGGTTTGGACTAAGTCAGACTTGGCTTTGAATACTGGCTCACTAACTGTGCTTCCTAGGCAAGTTATTTAATCTCTCCCAAGCCTCAGTTCCTTCATCTACAGGACAGACCAAAGAACACGTTATTGATGAGAAGATTAAGTAAAAATGAATGTAAAGGGCTTAGAACAGAGTTGTGGTATTATGATGGGTTAATGGTTTCCTTTTGGAGGACAAATGGAAGAGAGAGACCTTTCACTACTGGAAAGGCGTTTGACAACTTACCCTTTCAATTTTTGTTTTTCCCTTTGGCTTAGTCTCACCCACATACTTGTATAGATTACGGTATTCGATTTTTCTTAAAATCTCTCGTGCTGCATCCAGTTTTGGATCAGAAGAATATAAAATCTCCAGAAAAATGTTATCTGCCAATTTGATAAAATTTCAGTTAGATTAAGATGAAAAAAAAGATTTAAGAAAACTCATACACTACGGTACTTCTGGAATGATTTCAAGTGGACATTTAAATGTAAGCACAGTAGAACATCCAATGTCTTGGATCTGCTTCACGATAATCTAGTGAATGGGAGAGGGTAGAGATTAAGCAAGACTGTACTGGAGTTGATGGCTTACAGCTGGGTGATGGGAAATAGGGGTGTATTAATTTGTTGTTATGTTTTGTTTTCTTAAAGAGAATGACATTTAAGTAATTGTAAAATTATGTCTGAGATCTGCTTCAAAATAGTGTAGTATCTTATGGAAGTGGTCGGATAGAGTAGATGACGCAAAACTGCTGTGTTGATAATTGTCTCAGCTAAGTGATGGGTACGTGGAATTTGTAAATTTCATAATAAAAAGTTTTGTAATGTTCCATTCCATGATAAAAGCAGAAGTTGGTTCTTTTTTCTTTTAAGATTATATTTTATTTTTTAAGATTTTATTTTTGGGGCACCTGGGTGGCTCAGTTATACATTCGACTCCAACTCTTGGTTTCAGCTCAGGTAATGATCTCAGGATCATGGGATCGAGCCCAGTGTCAGTGGGCTCTTCACTTACCAGGGAGTCTGCTTCTCTCCCTCTGCCTCCCCCCACCCCCACTTGCATTCTCTCTCTCTCTAAAATAAATAAATGTTTTTATTAAAAGTTCTTTTTTAAAAAATATTTTATTTGCCAGAGAGAGAGAGAGAGAAAGAGCACAAGCAAGGAGCCCAATGTGGGATTTGATCCCAGGACTCTGGGATCATGACCTGAGCTGAAGGCAGCCACTTAACCGACTGAGTCACCCATGCGTCCCAAATAAATTAAAAAAAAAAAAAAAGATTTTATTTTTAAGTAATCTCTACACCTAATGTGGGGCTTAAACTTACAACCCTGTGACCAAGAGTCTCATGCCCTACTGAGTCAGCTAGGCGCCCCAGAAGTTAATTTTCTTTTCTTTTATTCCTCCGACTTTTTATTTTGAAAAATTTCGAAATAAAATACCTTTCGCCTAAATCCATCAACTGTTAACTTTTTTCTACATATGCATACACTGTGTATGTGTACACAATTTTTTTGCACACGCACAAATTTTTGATGAAATATTTGAAAATTACAGACATCAAGACCCTTCACTAAATACTTCTGCATGTATCTCCCAAGAACAAGAACATTCTCCTACATAACCACTATCAAGTGCCAAAAAATTAAAGACTGATATAAAAATATCTAACATAACAGTCTATATTTGAATTTGCTTAATTGTTGAAATAATGCAATTTATGGATTTATGTTGCTGGATAGAGAAACCAATCAAGCATTATGGATGACATTAGTCGTCATATTCTTTAGTCGCCTTTAATCTAGAACTAAATAATTCCCCTGACTTGTTTCATGATGTTGACATTTTAGAAAAGTTCAGACACTCATTTTGGACAATGTCCCACACTTTGAACTTGTCTGTTTCTTTACCATTAGATTCAGGTTAAACACTATTGTCAAGAACACAGGATGTGCCTGGCTCAATGCATTAGGAGTCACATAATGAGATGTTACCATTATTGGTTGTTAAATTCCATCAGTTGGTTAAGGCAATAATCCCAGCTTTCTCTATTATAAATGTATTTTCCCTTTTGTAATTAACAAATAATCCACAGGGTAATATTTTGAGACTGTATGATTATCCCAATAAGTTTTCAACCAATGGCTTAGCATTAATTGGTAATCATTGACTGAATCAATTATTGCATTTTGCAAAATGAGTTTTACCAAAAATGCTTTTTCTTGGCAAAATAAAATATTAACAGCCTTATGTCATTCACCTCACTGATGTGTATACATTCCTCCCTAATCAATCTACAGTTAACACATTCTTCATCCTCTCAGTGATGCTTTTTACAAACCACCTTTTCATCTATAGTTTTTATTATTTCTTTACATATTATTATACATACAGTTTGAAAAACAGCAATTTTACTTTAACATAATAAGACCACACTTTTCTAATCCATTCCTTTAGCTACCCTATTCCTGGGTGAATTAATGGAATGCTTCCCCCATCACAGGATCTCACTTCTTTTTATTTTTTTTAAGTAATCTCTACACCCAACATGGGGCTTGAACTCACAGCCCTAAGATCAAGAGTCACCTCTTCTACCAGCTAAGCCAGCCAGGCGTCCCTCACTTCTTTTTTTAATTTAATTTTTTTTAAGTATTCTCTACGCCCAACATAGGGCTTGAGCTCATGACCCCAGTATCAAGAGTCACATGCTCCATTGAGTGAGCCAGCCAGGTGCCCCAAAATCTCACTTCTTGAAAGCCTACCTAATCTCCAAGATTCATCTCAAAAGGCACCTCACTGTGAAATCTTCCTCAATCCAACCAAACTAGAGATGTAATTCCTCCTTCCTTTGAACCCCACAGAATTTTACTGATGGTATTTCTTATGCCTTTTACCTTATTCTTATAAGGTACAGGCTTTTAGGTGGACTTACATTTCCATTTCTTTTTTTTTTTTTTTTTTTTTTTTTTTAGAGTTTTGTTTATTTATCTGAGAGAGAATGAAAGACAGAGAGCACGAGAGGGAAGAGGGTCAGAGGAAGAAGCAGGCTCCCCGCCGAGCAGGGAGCCCGATGCGGGACTCGATCCCGGGACTCCAGGATCATGACCTGAGCCGAAGGCAGTCGCTTAACCAACTGAGCCACCCAGGCGCCCCTACATTTCCATTTCTGTTGGGTAAGCAGGTAGAAGAGGAATTACTGGATCATAGGATAAATATATATTTATATGAAAATGTTAAACTTTTTCAAAGGGGCTGTACCATTTGCATTCCCACTAGCCATGTGGGAAAGCTCTATTTGTTCCACATATTTGTGTTCAGAAAAGAGTTATGTATGAAACTTAAGGACACTGCTTGTATGTTAAACTGAATAACTATATATCACTCTAAAATAGTGTAAGCAACATTCAACTTTGGAGCCAGAAGACTTGAGTTTAGCTTTGCCATTTATCAGGATAAGTTGCTTTCCCTCACTTGGCCTCTGTTTCCTCATTTGAGGAGGTGGTCTTTTTTCTTTTTAAGATTTTATTTGTCAGAGGGAGAGAGAGAGAGAGAACACAAGCATGGGGAGCAACAGGCAGAGGGAGAAGCAGGCTCCCCGCTGAGCAAGGAGCCCGATGCGGAACTCGATCCCAGGAACCTGGGATAATGACCTGAGCTGAAGGCAGACGCTTAACCGCCTGAGCCACCCAGATGTCCCTTGAGGAGTTTTAAGTAGCTGATCTCTAAGGTCCTTTTAAATTTAACATTCTATCATTCCTATTTAATTAAGGGATTTTGGGATAAGGGGGCTTGCAGAGGAAGGAAGGGAAGTAAGGTCCACCTATTGCCTAGGAATACTGAGGGATTAAGAAAATGGTTACCTAAGACAGTGGTCATAACATTTGCAATGCTTAAGATAGCCAACTTCTATGTAAGCTGAAACATTTATAGGAATATTTATAGGAACATTTATAAATAGGAAATTAGGAAGCAGAGAGGACAGATAAACTATGTTCATATGATGAACTATTACTCAGCAATAAAAAGGAATAAACTAGTGATGCGTGCAGTCTGGATGAATCTCAAATACTCAACATTGAGTAAAAAGGAGCCCTACAGAGAGGAGTACACACTGTATGATTCCATTTATATAAAAGTCTAGAACAGGGGCGCCTGGCTGGCTCAATTGGAAGAGCATGCGACTCTTGATCTCAGCGTCATGAGTTTGAGCCCCATGTTGAGTGTAGAGATTACTAAAAATAAATAAACTTAAAAAAAATCTAGAATTGGCAAGTTGTAGTTGTTTCTAGGGGTAAGGTGGGGGCAGGAATTGACTGGGAAGAAGCATAAGAGAACTTTCTAAGGAGAAGATGAAGTTCTGTATCTTGCATTTGTCAAAACACTAGCAAATGTATGTAAGATTTGTACATTTATACAAATTGCATGTAATTTTACATCAGAAGGAAAAAATCTATAATTAATTTTTGAACTTTAGTTAATCTGCATGCTAAGGGAGTTAAGGTAAAGTGTAGTGGTATCTGCAATTTATTTTTTTAAAAAGATTTTATTTATTTATTTGACAGAGGGAGAGAGAGCACAAGTAGGGGGAGTGGCAGGCAGAGGCAGAGGGAGAAGCAGGCTCCCCACAGAGCAGGGAGCCTGATGCAGGGCTTGATCCCAGGACCCCAGGGTCATGACTTGAGCTGAAGGCAGCTGCTTAACTGACTGAACCGCCCAGGTGCCCCATGCAATTTACTTTAAAATGCATCAAAATTGGGGCACCTGGGCGGTTCAGTCAGTTGAGCGTCCGACTCTTGGTTTCGGCTCATGTCATGACCTTAGGGTCCTGGGATCAAGCCCCATGTTGGGCTCTGCACCCAGCAGGGAGTTTGCTGGAGATCCTCCTCCATCATGCATGCGCGCGTACATGCATGCTCTCTCTCTTCCTAAAAATAAATTATCTCTTTTTAAAAATTAAAAAAAAACTTTAAAATGCATCAAAATTAAGATGGATTAATAAGATGGATAGATGGGGGGCGCCTGGGTGGCTCAGCCGTTAAACGTCTGCCTTTGGCTCAGGTCATGATCTCAGGGTCCTGGGATCGAGCCCCGCATCAGGCTCCCTGCTCCGCGGAAGGCCTGCTTCTCCCTCTCCCACTCCCCTTGCTTGTGTTCCGAACCTCTCTCACTGTGTCTCTCTCTGTCAAATAAATAAAATCTTTAAAAAAATTAAAAAAAAATAAAAAAATAAAATAAGATGGATAGATGGATGGTAAGTGATAGATAAGTAATAAAGCAAGTTCAGTAAATGCTAGAATTTAGGGGGTGAATGGTAAGTGATAAGTAATAAAGCAAGTTCAGTAAATGCTAGAATTTAGGGGGTGAATGGTAAGTGATAAGTAATAAAGCAAGTTCAGTAAATGCTAGAATTGAGGGGGTGAGTGTAAAAGTGTTCACTGAAAAATTCTTTCAACACTGTTGTAGGTTTTCAACACTTCCCGGTAAGTGGAAAAACATTCTAAAAAATTAAAAAACAAGAACTGGAGACTTCTAGATAGAGTAAGTTGACTTTTGGAAAAGCAGCAAAGGTAACATGGTAAAGGCCCACATGGACTTATTCCTTCCAGGTCATGTAGTTAAGGCCAATAAGGATTATAGGACTGCTCCGAATAGTATGCAAGAAAGATAAGATTATCCCTGTCTCAAATGATGACAGCTGAAAATTCCATATGCTTGTTCTCCCATACTCTGGCAGATAAAGCGCAAAAATGTGACCTAATATTTTGTCTGGCATTTTTGACATTAATACAATATCCAAGTGCATAATCAGTGGATTCATCTCACTGAACAGGGTAAAAGCCAGTTTGGGCATTATAGAACCTTCATGATGAGCAAGAGCTATGTATAATCATGTGGTAAGATCATATTAAACTGTATACTTATGGTTTGTCAGTTAACCCAAAAGTGCATAAAATCCCCAATTCATTTCTTTTCACCAAGAGATAGTAGAAATGTAATATAATGTTACAGGATAAATTGTTAGAACTGGCTTCTGATGAAGACCGAAGATAACTTTTTTTTTTTAAGATGACTTTTTAAATATGGCATCATCTGCTTCATTATGAACAAAGTTGAAAATAGGCCCCAACTTGCTCAAATTATTATATAACCTCATCTTTCATTCCTATGAACACAACAGTGGGAGGTTAGTATCTACTATGATGTTATTAAAACAAAACACAGAAACAATTTAGATACACATTATCCCCTGTGAGGGGCTGTGTCATCTAATCTAGATTAAGAAGGAAAATCACTTGTTACATTATAAACCTTAAATACTGATATACACAATGTTCTGAGTGTACACAAAGATAGCTAATATGAGGAATCACTCTTTCACTTCTAATTTTTGATTTATTTATGATTAGAAAATGACTAAAAAGTTACAAGTGTAATAGGGACTCTGCATTACCTACACGTATATTTTTAAAGAATAATACATATAACTTTTCTTATTTAAATTTCTGTTTCTTTTGATTATATTTATTGAAATATATGTTAAGTCTGTCAAACTCAATACTAAATATTTGGGCTTGTATTTTGTATGTCCTGCCCGCCCCCATTTCATTTTACTGGCAATTCATTTTTAGTGCTCTACGAAAGTATCAATCTGCGAATGGTTGGACACGAAGAATACTGGTTCTTCAAAGACAGTCTCAGAGGAACTGGTATGGGTCTCATTCTGGCAGCGTGCTGCAGAATCGAACAGTGATGGAAGAGTAGTAGTACCACTCACAGGAACCTCATGGAAAGTGATCTTGGCTGTCTTAGGCCACTGAGCTTGTGTTGTTTTTGCTCATTTTAAGAATCTCCAGCCTTGAGTGCCTGGGTGGCTCAGTTAGTTAGGCATCTGCCTTTGGCTCAGGTCATGGTCCCAGAGTCCTGGGATCGAGTCCCACATCAGACTCCCTGCTCAGTGGGCAGTCTGCTTCTCCCTCTGCCCTTCACCCTGCTTGTGCTCTCGCTCGCTTGCTATTTCTCTCTCAAATAAATAAATGAAATCTTAAAAAAATCTCCAGGCTTTCCATGGATTCTACAAGCTATGTGACTGCTTTCTAACTTTCTTCTTAAACGGAATCAGTTTCGTGATATGCAACTAAGAACTGCAACTGGTACATACTTTTTTGTCTACTCCTTTTGCTTTGCTGATCTTTATTGCTCAGTCTGCACTTCCCCATGTGAAATAACCAGCTGCAACTCCTTCACCTCTCCCTTCCCACCCTAAGCTGCAGGTTTCGTTTCTGCTTTAGTGTGGCAAAATGTTCCTGGTTCCCTGTGTTTTACAACAAAAATAATGTTAAAAGGGTGAGTCTGCTATCAGTCCAGCTGTATTATACCTTAAATAATAGTAAATATTGGGTACTTATGTGCCAAGTACGATACTAGGTGTTATACCTCATTTAAATACTACAACAAAACTCTATGCAAGATAGCAATACTCCCATTTTATAGATGAGGAAACTAAGAGAGAGGTTAAATAACTTTACCAAGGTTATATTGTTAATACAAAGCAGAGATAAAGCTCAATTCCAAAAGCATATAATCACTTGAGAAGCCAAATATATTGGAATGTTTGGAAAATAATCCATCTGTAATCCAGGGACAGCTTACACTTTATCTGAGATGGACCACCTATGTTACCTTCTGGCTCTTACCTGTTAGCTTAGTGAAGGCTTCCATGTCATCAATTGCTGTAGAAATGTGATACTTTTTTCCTTCAGCACCTGTAATCTCTATGTAGGGGTCTGCTTTGAGGAAAGCATCTGTAATCCTAAAGATCATTTCATAAAAATGTATGCTTATGAGAAACTTTGAGTATTTGCTTAATGCCATGCTTAAAGTTAAAGAAATCTTATGGGGATTAACATAAGAATAAAAAAAAAAAAAAAAAGAAATCTTTCTACTTCAGAGAAGTAAAATCCTGAGACGTGATGTTCTAAAGACAACTGTTTTTGGATCATACATAAATGCATAAATAAGCACATGGTGATTTGTGAGCTACCATGTTCACTGGGATCCAGGCATTATGTAGGGCTTTGGATAGATTATCTTATTTAATCTTTCCAAAAAGATAGACATAATCAGCCTCCATTTTATAGATGCAGAAATGAAGTATTTTCGTTTAACCAAGTTAGGAAGAAGCAATACCAGGCTTTGAACCTAGATCTCTCTGACTCTCTGAATTAAAAACAAACAAAAACTTCTTATCAAAGGAACAACCATACAAATGGGTGACTGTATTCTAACTAGTCTGCTCATGTCAATTTAAAACTATTTCAGAGACATGGAATAACTCAGGCTCTACTTTTGAGAACTCTCCATGGGTCTTGGAGTCTCATAGAGAAGCATGGCTGCACCTGTCTCTGTACTTGGCCCAACTTTCCTGCTACGGTTCCCACTGGGTTGGGGAGAAGAGGTGAAATTCCTATCGGCTTCACTATTTTCCACAAATAACTGACAGGGTGAGGACAGATATTAATCTTCATCCTTAAAATTAATTTTTTGTCATTAGTTTTACAGTGTCAATTATTCACATCTTATCTCTCACCTTGATACTAATACCTGGCACAGAAGCAACTAGCTCTGGGGAGGTCTAAGCCATGCCTCTTCATGTCTAGTTGAAGCCAACTCTTCCACCCTTCATCTATCCCCTTTATTCATTCTCCTCCTTTACTTTATGCTAGTTTTTTGTTGTATTAAGGGAACCATTTTAGATTTATTCATTTAAAATTCACTTGAATTCATCTAGAAATCTCAACTTGACCCAAGAATGATCTAACAAAGCATCATAAAAAATTTTATAGAGAAATAGCAGTCGAATTTCTTACATCGTATCAATGATGTTGCCAACTTTGTGTTGATAAGCTCTGCGGTGCAAAGAGTTGCGAGTATGGAACATGTCATACAGATTCCCAACCTCCTGCAGGAAAACATGAAATAAATATTAATGCAGGGTCAGGTTATGTTACCCTTGTTAGTAGATAAGTACATAGGACAAGGAAAAGGGATGGTGACAGACAAGAAGGCTATGCACGGGAGCTACCTCATTAAAATCCCTGAGTGCATTAAAAAACTACAAGACAGGTTAGGAAAACCATTTCTTCTGGGTTTGCAACTTTTCTTCTTCTTTTTTTTTTTTTAAACTTTATTTATTTATTTGTCAGAGAGAAAGCAAGCACAAGCAGGGAGAGCTGCAGGCAGAGGGAGAGGGAGAAGCAGGCTTCCCGCCGAGCAGGGAGCCCGATGCGGGACTCGATCCCAGGACCGAGATCATGACCTGAGCTGAAGGCAGACAGGTAATGACTGAGCCACCCAGGCGTCCCTCAACTTTTCTTCTTAATCTATTGTTTTAATTCTGTAGCAGGTTCTGTTTTAAGGCATCTTCAATATGTTTTTTAATCTTCTCAACAACTCTAGAAGTTAGGCATTATTCTTCTTATATTCTTTATTCTCAAAAGACTTTTTTTTTTCTTTAAGATTTTATTTATTTGTCAGAGAGAGAGAGAGCACAAGCAGGGCGAGCGGCAGGCAGAGGGAGAAGCAGGCTCCCCACTGAGCAGGGAGCCCGATGCAGAACTTGATCCCAGGACTCTGGGATCAAGACCTGAGCTGAAGGCAGATGCTTAACCGACTGAGCCACCCAGGCATCCAAAGAAAGACTTTCTATAGTACAGTCCCATACTACTCTTTAGTTACATGACTCTAATCTAGCAGGGACCTAATGATTTAGTATTTTACCTATTATGAAACACTAACATAGAACACTAACTATGGTTAAGGATGAGACTTGAGTCAAACTTTCTGGGCTGAAACTCCAGTTCTGCCATTTATTAACAATATGTCTTCTCTGTGCTTCAATTTGCTCACCTATTAAGTGGCATAAAAATAGTATCTATTTCATAGGGTTGTGAGGACCAAGTTAATCCACCTAAAGCACTTAGAACAGTGCCTACCACAATACTCAATAAATGTCTGTTGTAATTTTGCAGAAGTGAAAAGAACTTTTAGATATTTACAAGTGCTAAGTGTAAAGTAAAAAGATTGACAATTTACCAGGTTGTGATTTTTCCAAATTATTGAATGATTACTTCTAGACTTGGAACTAGGAACTACACCTTCTTTATTGTTCCTCTGACATAACTCACCTTATCTCTAGTACAAATACGCTTCCTATTATCTACTTCACAGACACGGGCGAATTTAATAAAGCGCTGGTAATCAAAATTATTTTGGATTCCAAGATGATGGCAGTCCCTGGAAAGATTCCAAAGCAGAGAGATGAAATTTTTCAACGAGGAAACTGTACCTTAAATATTAACACTAAATGTACACAAGAATTTCATTTTTTATTTATTTAAGTAAAAATTAAATATATTTAAAGCATGTAAGGATTTTAACCAATTTTTCTGAAGTGTTCAGTGCATACCTGGCAAAATAATCCCATTTGTCCACATCGATGCCATTTCTTTTATTGGCCACTATCTCATAAAGGAAGCTTTTCTCTTTAGGACGCCCTTTATACGGCCACTGGAAGACAAGAAAACTCACCAAAGTTTTAAGATATGAACCATATCTATTTACAAGCAAAGCAAAGCAACTGTGTTCACCTAAAAATCATAAACAGATACTTGAATGGGAATGTGAGATAATTAGAAGGTTCTACTCTTTCCTTCTTCCACCTAATTCCTAAACTATTAGAAAAAGTTAAAGAAATGTTAAGGTATGTGATATCCTGTTAATACTAAACCTTGTGCCATTGAAAGGATCCTAACTCAGGGCGCCTGGGTGGCTCAGATAGTTAAGCCTCTGCCTTCGGCTCAGGTCATGATCCCAGGGTCCTGGGATCGAGTCCCACATCTGGCTCCCTGCTCAGCGGAGAGCCTGCTTCTCCCTCTGCCTCTGAACCTCCCCCTGCTCATGCTCTCTCTCTATCTCTCTGTCTCAAATGAATAAATAAAAAAAATCTTAGAAAAAAAGGGGATCCTAACTCGTTACATTTCTCATAACCAACAAGCTTTCTTCTTTTCTTGGCTTAAAAGTTTCTTTAAAATATAAAATCTCGGGCTGCCTGGGTGGCTCAGTCATTAAGCGTCTGCCTTCGGCTCAGTCATGATCCCAGGGTCCTGGGATTGAGCCCCACATCGGGCTCCCTGCTCAGCAGGAAGCCTGCT